GGCCCAGCGTTCTTCTCTTGTCTGTCTTTTCTCAACCCTCCATCGCCCCCTCAGGCTCCCGGACCTGGCTGAGCTGGCTCGGCCCAGAGGTGATGTCCTGTTACAGTTTCTTAAAAATATGTATTTTTTCGATGGGAGAGAAACATCGATCAGCTGCCTCCTGCACATCTCCCACTGGGGATGTGTCCGCAACTGAGGTACATGCCCGTGACCGGAATCAAACCTGGGACCCTACAGTCCACAGGCCAACACTCTGCCCACTGAGCCAAACTGGCCAGGGCTATAGTTTCTTTTTATTGATTGATTGATCAGAGAGAGAGATTTGTTGTTCCACTCACGTGTGCGTTCATTGGTTGAGTCTTGTATGTGCCCTGACTGGGGATCGAACCCCCAGCCTTGGGGTATCAGGACGAGGCTCCAGTCAGCTGAGCTGCGTGGCCAAGGCTCTGGTATAATTTCTACTTGGTGTTTCCGGGTAAGTAAGAGCCGGTGTTTCCTGTGATTTTCTTCGTTGCCGTGTTACCGACCCCACCTGGTCCCGGTGCCAGTCATGCCCGTGCGCCCTCGGCTCCCCTCCAGCCTGGATAGTCGGTGTCGGGAGCTCAGGCAGCGCCCCCTCTTTCCACGTCTGTCCCTTCGCGTTGGGAGAACCCCCAGGATCCCACAGGCTGCTGAAAGCCCAGCCTGAATCTAATGTTGGCTGAATTTGGGGGGACAAATACCCCTTAACTTCGTTTGCTTTCTCTCTCTCTCTCTCTCTCTCTCTCTCTCTCTCTCAAATATCGATACATTGATTGAAAATATCACACACACACACACACACACACACACACACACACACACACACGGGCACCTTTCCCAGGTGTGTTTTCTGCGTCTGTTAAGGGGTTTTCTGAAATGAGCCTTGCGGTTCACAAGCATGCTGCCCCCCCCTCCTGGTCGCACGCGGCATTGCACACCCCGGCGCCTGTGGCCGCCAGGAGGCAGGTGACCTTTATTTCACTCTGAGGGTTCAGACACCCGGCAGGGACCCCGCCCCCCGCAGGACGCATGGCATCTCTGAGGCGACAGCTGCCCATCGCCCAGGTCCAGGCGTGAGAGGGCGCGGAGCGGGCACCAGCCACTCGGGGGCAAACCCAAAGCAGGAACGAGTGAGAAAGCTGAGTTGTCAGATTTCAGACTCCGCTGCTGGCCGTCCTGGGGTTCCTGCATGAACCCCCGGCTCTGGCTGGGGGGTCTCAGTGGGGGCCGCCTGCCGTCTTCCTGCCTCCAGGGGGCGCAGTGAGTGCCTTTCATTGTATGACTGTTTGCCGGAGCGGCCGTCCGAGCTCACAGGCCCCCAGCAACGCAGGAAAGTCCCAGCTGCCCACATTCCGGCCAACCCTCCGGGCCGTCCCTGCTGTGTGTGTGTGCATGTGTGTGCGTGTGCATGTGAGTGCGTGTGCATGTGTGTGTGCATGTGAGTGCGTGTGCATGTGTGTGTGCGTGCATGTGTGTGTGCGTGCATGTGTGTGTGCGTGCGTGTGCGGTGCGCTGTCAGGTGACCGTGTCACAGGACACCCTCTCACGGGCTTGCTGGCCAGTCGTCCCCCCTCCTCCATCGAGTTGTTTGACGCGCCTTGACTGACGTGCAGGCGTCCCTTGTTCGTTCTGGACACGCATTTTGCAGTTTCCGGCCAGCCTGGGGCTGCCCAGTTGGTAACTGTCTTTCAAAGAGCAGGAGTTTTCAACCGTAATGAGGTCTGTTTCGTTGTGCACGCTCACACACAGGTCACACGCTCACACACGGGTCACACGCTCACACACGCACATGCGTGGGGCGGACGAGGCCTCACTCTGTGCAAAGCCCTGGATGTGGCTGTGAGAGGAGGCGCCGAGGGTCCATCTATCTCACTAGGCAGGGCCCGAGGGCTGCCTGGAGGGGCCGCCTGCCTCCTGAGGGCCCAGCGAGGGCCAGAGCGCACCGGGCGAGACAGGGCTCCTGGGACAGCCCTGGAGAAGGCGGTCATGAGGGGTGGAGTCCTGTTTGGTGTCTGCAATCAGCCAACGCCAAGCCAGGCATACGTGCCCGGCGTCCCCGGTCCTGTGTGCAGACCTGGTGGTCGGTGCCGTGGGGGCTAGGGGCCCCTCTGGGCCCTCCTGGATGTCCTGGCCCCTCCCCCCAGACCCGAGGCGCCAACTGAAGCACACCCGTCTCTACAGCAAGTTTATTTCAGAAAGCGGAGCAGTGGACAAAGGTTCGGAAATAAATACCCGTACAGACAAGGCAGTCGGGCGGGGCGGGGACGGGGGAGCTCAGAGGGTCGCAGGTCGGAGGGTGCGGTGC